AAATGCTCCATACCGATTGTCAACAAATATAGAAACAAAGTGCAAGGCTCAAATAATCGTATTTCCTCCTCCCGAATTGTCTATTTTCGTTTATAAGTTGAAGGACAATTGGGGAGAATTTACTGTATTGCGATTTTAAATGGGAACGAAAAAGTTCAGAAAAATTCATATTAATATTCAATGTTCATTAACGTAAGAGCTAGTAATTCTGGTGTTAAAACAGTAAGTATCAATGTCAATAAAAATTCGAGTCACGATAGACTCGGTCACTGCCGACAGAAACCTAATTCCATAAAACGAAAATCCATTAGTAGCCACAAGAAATTAACAACGTCGTTCCAACATACTTTAAACAACTTAATTTAATGCTTAGTTAAAAGCTTTCTCATTTCATTAATTTACATTAAATTCGTCAAAAATTTATCTGAATATTATTTAAAATTTATGCAAAATTTACCCGGAATTTACTCAAAATTTACTCATATTTTATCAAAAATTTACTCAATATCGTCTAAAATTTACTCAAATCTTCAGTCTCCCCAAAAACCGTAAAAATCCACCGCTCACACGAGTCCACCGCCCTCGCATCTTCCTGACTCGATATCCAGAATCTTTTCTTGCCGAGGGTCACACTGGATCCGGCGTTCGGCTCCGTCCGCGTTGGAGCGGTTAACGACGCGAGCCGGCGACGATCGATCAAAATATTTCGCGCGTGGTTGCTACCGTTTCGCCGGGGCGGTGCAGTACTTTTCCAAGTTGGAAAGAGCGACCGAAAGCTACCGAGAGAGAGAGAGAGAGAGAGAGAGAGAGAGCGAAAGAAAGAGAAAAAGAGAGAGAGCGCAAAAGAGAGAGGGAAATATATTCCTCCTCCTCCCATCACCCGTTGCGTCTCCCTCATCATCTCCCGTTCCTCATCGTCTCACTTTTCACGCTCCAGCCCGGCGAGACCGAGCCCAGACCTGCTGACTCGCGTGGATCGCACCCGTAGCCCCGCCCACGGCCAATCGGCGGCCACCGCCCCGTTCGCGCCTCCCTCCACGTGACAGCGGGGGCCGCGCCGCGCCGCGGTTGGCCGTGGCCGCCGGCCAGCGGGCGGGGCGCCGCGGAGAGCTCGCGGAGGGGCACGGCGGACGAGAGGCGCGTCCGAAAATAATTAACGACGGCGGATACTCTCCGGGCTGGGACCGCGGGGAGCGGGACAACAGGCCACGTCCCTCGACGCGATTCGAGTGCGTTGCGGAACGGGCTGGATGTGACGGCTGGTGGGGGCAGAGTGTGTGTTTTTGCCTCGACGAGGGAAGGATTAGTCGGATCACGAGATTGAATATGCGCGTAATCGAAGGACTTACGGGCCGGCAGAAAATACGCTCGTCGTCTTTTGTACATGATTTGTTGGATGCGTGTTCCCGGTCTCGTGTGGGCCGCGATTTATTAACACCTCCGTCCGACGCACGGCGAAACAACCGGAGACGAGCATGCGAGGCTCTTGTCGATTTTTCATCGTGTATAATGACTTTCTTTTTGGAGATTTCGGCGAACTTTGCTGGACCTTTGGATGCGTCATTTCCACGGAAAAGTCGGTTCTTATTGAAAATTGAGAACCTGTTTTGT